CTACTATATGCATATAGGGAAAATCAATGACCCCCCGGGGCGGGGCCAATTTTAACCCCAGGGCTTTTATTTGAATAAACTTTGAAGACACCTATTAGAACATGTTTGATGCTCAATATCTTAGCCATAGCTCTTTGAGTTCTTTAAAAGAAGATTTTTTAAGTTTTTTCTATATGCATATAGGGAAAATCAATGACCCCCTGGGGCGGGTCAATTTTAACCCCAGGGCTTTTATTTGAACAAACTAGGTAACCACCCATTAGAACATGTTTCATGCTAAATATCTTAGCTCTAGCTCTTTGGGTTCTTTAAAAGAAGATTTTTTAAGTTTTTACTATATGCATATAGGGAAAATCAACGACCCCCTTAGGCGGGGCCAATTTTGACCCCAGGGCTTTTATTTGAACAAACTTGGTAGACACTCACTAGAAGATGTTTCATGCTGTAAAGTTTCATGACTCTAGGTCAAATACTTTTTGAGTTACGTGCGACACAAGTTGAAAATTGCAAAATTTTACTAAGTCAAGGGCAATAACTCTGAAAATACTAAAAATATCCAGATGAAAATACCCAGGTGCACAACTACACATGCTGATCAACATTCCTGTAAAGTTTCATGACTCTAGGTCAAATACTTTTTGAGTTACGTGCGACACAAAAGTGAACGGACGGACGGACAGAAGGACGGGTGGAAGGACGGAAGGACGGACGGACAAGGGTAAATCTAAATGCCCGCCACTAACGTGGGGGCACAAAAAGAGGATTACTGGCAACACTGTAGGCAATGTAAATATGTCTCATAATTTAGTACCGTATAACCTAAAATGTCCTTTTTGGTGTTAAAAAATCTTTCCGCTCATTAAGTTAATTACGTTTGTACACCAGTCTACTCACGTGCTTTTTCCGGTAAAAACAAAAACGTAAAAATGTTCCGTTTCTTTTTCTTTATTTACTTATCATCCTTTCCAGCACTTAACTGTAGATCTACAATAGAATTAGTCAGACAATGTGATGCAAAACTGTGTGAGTTGTCATATGATATGCCAGGACTGTATATTTTTACATGCCATAATTATGTTACAGAACGTATTGAAATAGACAGATTTCCAAAAAGTGTTTTCAATGTGAGGAATTTACACATGTTGAGAGAAATAAATATCAAGTATGGGATTGGTTTAAGCAAAGACTTGTGCCAAACTGTTATTGTGGAATCCTGTGTAACTGTCAAAGCTGCACAACAATCTGCTGACTGCTGCGCTTGGTAAGTGAATTTTGCCATTCAATTTCATTAACTTTGTTTTAAACAAAATTAATGGTAATTAACCGCAGCTTCTGTTTTAAGGAGGAAGGAACGTACTTTTTCAGAAATAAGAATGACATCTCCAGAATGGAAGTTCAGAGATTCCCGAATAGCTTTTTAGACACAAGCAATATGCATTTATTACAAAGTGTATTCATCCAGTACACTGAAGATCTGCCGGAAGAACTTTGTTGAATATTCGTCAATTTAAATGCCTGCATTGATTTGTACATTGGATTTAGTAATGAGCAAGTTCATTGTTGCAAGGTATTAAAATAGTTATGTTTTCACATAACATTTCTTGCTAAGTTAAATTCAATATTTTGAAAGGTGTCGAAAAAGAACTGGAAAAGAAAAAAACAAAAGGTGATAATACATTATCATGTTTTACTTATTTATTGAAATTGTATCATTCTTTTAATACAATATGTTTTACTTACTTAATTCCAGCAGAGTGAAACAAAGAGAGCTACCACTGCTAGTGATAGTCAGACTTTTGCGACAAAGGTAGGATAACTTTCCTTTCAGTTCAGGTTATATATATATAATTATATACATTGTGTGTGTGTACCAGTTTGTTTCAGCTTTTTTAAACAATTGTGCTTCGAAACACTCGGTGAATGAATCATTACCAAGTTAATAAAATATTGAGAGGTTTTATAACATTCTTACATGATGACCTTCATAAATAGCCTGTAGACTAATAAGGTAATTGCACCTATTTGGACATGCACAAGTGGTTCTACCATAGTGATTGCTCTTATTATAATACAATATAATATGTTTTATTTAGTAATTTATTGAAATTATACCATTCAGAATGATGTCACCAAGCAGTCGCAGCAGTGCAACTAAGAGTGCTACTGCTACTAGCACTAGTCAGCAAGGCAGTCAGTCTTTTAAGACACAAGTAGGATAACTTTCCTTTAAGTTCGCATTATATAAAGTACCAGTTTGTTTCTGCTTTTAAGAAGAAAAATTAAGTATAAAATTCAATGACACTGCAAAATATTATGACAAAGTCTCTGGTCTAGTAAAGTTTCTATGATTGGTTACAGGAAACAGTAGCTGTAGATTTCTTACATTTATTTATTTTTCTTTAAGAATGAATCCAATATGGTTTTACTCACATTTCTGTATAAACTAGAGTAAATGAACAAAAAAGTGAACAACTTCATGTTTTACAGTCTTAGAAACAGAGCTGCATCAGTACCAAGGGTGTAGTACTTAAGTACCAGTACCAGTACTTGGCAAATTATGCAGTACCATTACCAGTACCAGTACTAGATTTTAGCTCGGTACTGCAGTACCAGTACTTTTTTTGGTGAAGTAATTAAGTATCAGTACCATTACTTTTATATATTCATCAAAGTTTGAATAAATACAGTGTCAAACAAATAATTGCAAATATTATTCAGCAAAGAAATAAAATCATAATTTACTTAAAAGCTGCATACCTCCAGATGACCCAAAATATTTCAAGAAAATTAAACTTGGAAAAAAATTACTAAAACTTTGAGAAAATTTAACAAATTAAAGATTCAAGTGATAATTTATATCTTATGTGCAACTAATGACTGTATTTTGTAGTATTTATTACTATATTTCTACTGCGTTACTAACACAGTAGGGGCTATTTATGCATGTTTTGACCTCTTTTTGGTAATTTATATGGATTTTAAGTGCCGATTGTAATGTGTCAAGTACTTTCTTTGTTCATTTAACAATATTTTACCTTTAAATACATTTTCAAAATTTTCATGAAAATTAGGATGAATCTGGAGGCATGCTGCTTAAAGTTTTAACATACTTTTTACAAACAATATTTACTTTAACATACTTTTTACAAACAATATTTACAACATAATTATATTCATGTCATATCTAATTGTTTAGTAACAAGTCAACTGTATAAATACAATGCAAACATCTTTCATTTAAAACACAACAGTCTTTTGTTGCCTTTCACACCTCTGTTCAATTTATACCAAAGTAAATAACAACTTTTTATGGTGCTAACAATATCACTTTTTTCACTTGAGATGGGATTTTTTAGAATAGAAGAAATTAATTAGTGTTAATTTTGCTCTTTTACTAGTAAATACAAAGTAATAAAATATTTTAATAAGGATATTTTAGGGTAAAGAGTTATTGAGTCTGTTTATCTTAATTTAATTTTTACTTAAAGTCTTTGGTGCTTTTTATGATGAATACTATGTTAACATTTGAAGGAATATTGCAGCAAATTATCTTTTGATTTGATAACTTACTTTTTCAAAAAATAAAATATAGTTAATGTAATTTACAGTTTTATTTTATGAGAAAAATTGATGTTATTTTTAATTTTATCAAAACCAAAAGTACTGGGTAATGCAGTAGCAGTACCACTTTTTAAGACAGTAATGCAGTACCAGTACCAGTAGTAGCAAAATTTTGTAAGAGTAATTCAGTATCAGTACCAGTACTTGCAAAATCGCTGCAGTACGTACTGCAGTACCAGTACCAGTACCAGTAATGCAGCTCTGCTTAGAAATAAGCAGTTGCTTGGTTGATCATCAAAGTTGAAGGCAGGTAGAGTAGAGCTAGTTGAAGTAATACTGAACTTGTTCATGAGCCGGCTTGATTCTAAAACTTGTTTCAGATAGTTCCTTCTCTGAAGTGTTTAATAAGAAAATATTCTATCTACCAGTATCTCAATAGTTTCTCAGTGTTGTATTGTTTCATTTTAGATGAAAAGTGTGATAGATGTTTAAAACACAGAGGGAATGACTTCAACCTTAGAGGGTATGACTTCAACCTCAAAGGGCGAGACTGCAAGAGGCAAGATGACCAATTGGAATGACATGAGCAAATTCAAGTGTGACCGTCACAAGGATGCTACAGACCAAATTTGAAGTAAATCTGTCCAGTAGTTTCAGAGAAGAAGACCATTGTTGACGCATGACGACGGACAAAGGACGATGGACGCCGGAGCATCCCCCTTTGATACTAATAGCTCACCCTGAGCCTTCGGCTATAGTGAGCTAAAAACCCAAAAGATCAAAAAACAAGGGGTAATTACCCAATATATACAACAAAATGTTATCTGTAACCCTGCCCCCCCGGGTCACTTGATTTTACATACTGTGAAATCATTTGTATTCGTGGGCATGAAATTTCGTGGTTTTATCAAAACAGGCATTTTCGTGGGTTCTTAAATTCGTGGATTTTCATTTTCTTGTAAAAAAAAAATAAGTAATGGAAAGTAATCTTTCACTTAATCACTGCGCTGTTTTACTTACCCCGTGTATATAACACAGCTCTTGTTAATAAATTTAATCCTGGCCTCTGGCAGTAACACAATTACTGCCGATAATTGACTGCAATTAACACCTTTGTGTGACATGATATGCAGCTCCATTATATGCCCCTATAATTCGCCAATGTAAACATCGCATAAATTATACGACATCTGCCAATTTTTTAACCAGCCAGTAAAAAAGTTAACACCCCGAATTAGTTCCAAAACTACACACTACATCACATCGACTGTGTAAATTTATAGGCATATAAATTAATACCAGTAAATGGCTCAATACAGTTACATACATGTATGTGTGCATCTAGTGTAAAGACGACGGCTTCTTTGATATTTTCGGAATAGCAGTCACACATATACATATTGGAAAAAATATATTTAAATGGATCATATAAACACTAGTCGTTAAAAGTTTTATCGGGGATAATTAATGCACTTGGTTCCCATATTTACTCGATTTTGTCACGTATTCTGGCTAACACAATCAAGTAGCCTACAACGATCAAGTAGTCCCCTGATGTTTACATGCGACGAACATTTGTGACAGCAAACCGAAGACATACAATCGATTTTTCTTTCAAGTTTCTTAAATATTGCAAAATTAAACTATTTATGGATTTAATTTGTCACTGACCTGATTATAATATACATTCATACCACAAATATCGGCCGGAAAAGCGCCGACGCATGTTGTGATATATGGAACAGAGACATGGTAAGAAGCGTTTGTTGGGATAAAATTTCGTCGGGTCTTAAATTCGTGGATTGACCTATCCACGAAAACCACGAAAATTCGTGCCCCACGAATAATGATGATTTCACAGTATATTTGATAAACAGGTATGAATTGACACAGTTGCAGATGGAGAACTGAACAGTGGTATTAGTTGACCTAGGTTTTGGTCTACTTTTTATTTTTTTACACCATTATCATTCTGTACTTGGATGTGTGACCTGGGGCCAATAACCCATTGTTTAATTTTACTGGTAAATATATACTAAATATTTTTTCATTATTTTTTTTTAAATGGGATGAATTGATCAGCTTGGTTTGAGTTGTCAATAAATCTAAAACATCTTAGGTAATAATAAGAAGCTACAAAGACTGTTAATAATGTAATGAAATGAATCCTCATTTTGTACATGTGTTACCTTTATATATAATGTCCAAAGAGCAATAGTATTTTATTTTCTCAATCTTGGTCAGAAATTATCTATACTGAGGAACACTGTATCAATTTTTCACAAATTCATGGATACCAAACTCTTGGCTTTTTGAAAGTGCAACAGAAATTTATTGCCTACAATGAGAAATTGTGTGAATAATCCTTGTTTAACATTAAGAGCCAACCATATAGAAACACATATAGTGAATTAAAGGAGACAATAAGCACCAGTCCTGTGTGGTATCTTTTTTATACTAATCAAATTAAGTATTTTATTATAGTTTGAAGAATTCACAGCACTTCAATAGATGCTATTATAATTTGTTTTATGAGTCAGAGGAAAATGGTGCAGAAACGAAGTCGCCCAGTCACTGATTTACTATTTATGAAGTCATTTGATAGAAATATTACAGTTCAAGAATATAACAGATGTGTGTGACATGGTCCATAAAATTGCTCCCAGTATTGACATTGTACTGTGTGAGATTCAAACAAGGAGACAAAGCCAGGGGAAATGGAGAATACCAGCACCTAAGTTGAAGAAGATGCAGGAGTGGATTGCTACAGGAAATAGTATTTTGAGAATCATCAGCTTATAAACTCCTTATGTCAAATTCCTCAGTACATTTTTGGTATGAACCTAATATTAATCCCCTTCTAGATTTCTTTTTTATCAGAGTAAAAGTATATAGAAAAATTCTGGTTACATGTCATTCCCTTGGAAGCAACCAAACCCAATTTGAAAATTGCAGACTCTGTTTTATTGAGTCTGTTCATGAGAGAGAGTGAAAAGTGTAACATCTCTCCCGCCCACTAGCACTGGCTTAAGTGGTATTCAAGTGTTGTACAGATTATTTCCAACAGTTGGAATATGTATGTTCTTAAAATTGTAGAGTGCTCATCATCTGACCTTTGACGGACTTCATCTTAGCAGAAAAGGTGCTGAACAATGTTATAAAGTTATTGTAGAAAATACCAGTGTGCATGACAAGCCAACACGTGACAGCCACTCATCTTTTGCTTTTGATTTGGAAGATTTGCCAGTTCTTGGGGATGTTAGAATTAAGGAAACATTGAAGAAATTACATATGCAGATATTGTTCAGAACAAGGTAATTTTGTTTGTCATTAAGAAGAGATAGGCCTTATATGTGTGAGTTTCTTTTGAGACATGCATTATATTTCAACAGTGCTGAGTGCAAGTTGAAGTATCTAAAAATTCTATGCACACCAAAATGAAAAAATTTAACAAATTTTAAAGTGCCAACCATATAGAAACTCATATAAGCAATAAGAACCTGTGTGGTATCTTTTTTATACTAATCAAATTAAGTATTTTTAATAGTTTGAAGTAGAAGAATCCACAGCACTTCAATAGATGCTATTATAATTTGTTTTGTGAGTCAGACGAAAATGGTGCAGAATCGATGTCTCACAGTCACTGATTTACTATCAATGAAATTACTAGTTATGTCATTTGATAGAAATATATCAATTTAGGAATATATCGGATGTGTGTGACATGGTCCATGAAATTGCTCCCAGTATTGACATTGTACTGTGTGAGATTCCAACAAGGAGACAAGACAGGGGGAAATGGAGAATACCAGCACCTAAGTTGAAGAAGATGCAGGAGTGGATTGCTACAGGAAACAGTATTTTGAGAATCATCAGCTTATATACACCATATGTCAAATTCTGAAACTCCTCAGTACATTTTTGGCATGAAACTAATATTAATCCCCTACTGGTTAGCTTAAAATTTAAGGACTGCATATTTTCATCTTTTCTGTTCATTAAAATGTCTTCAGTTTCTGGTCTGATCAGTATAATATAATACTGTTTTACAAATCAACATGGTTCTCATTCTGCTTTTTTAATCAGGGGAATTTTACAAGATGTAATTTTGTTTGTCATTAAGAAGAGATAGGCCTTATATGTATGAGTTTCTTTTGAGACATGCATTATATTTCAACAGTGCTGAGTGCAAGTTGAAGTATCTAAAAATTCTATGCACACCAAAATAAAGAAAATGTAACATATTTTAAAGTGCCAACCATATAGAAACTCACATAGACAATAAGCACCCGTGTGGTATATTTTTTATACTAATCAAATTAAGTTTTTTTAATAGTTTGAAGAATCCATCTGACCTTTGACCGACTTCATCTTAGCAGAGAAGGTGCTGAACAATGTTATAAAGTTATTGTAGAAGATACCAGTGTGCTTGACAGACCAACATGTGACAACCACTCATCTTTTGATTTTGATTTGGAAGACTGGCCAGTTCTTGGGGAAGTTAGAATAAAGGAAACATTGAAGAAAATTAGATATGCAGATGTTGTTCAGACTGAGGTAACTTTGTCATTAAAAAGAGATAGGAATTAAATCTGTGAGTGTCTTTTGAGACCTGCATTATATTTCAACAGTGCTGAGTGCAAGTTAAAGTATCTAAAAATTCTATGCACACCAAAATGAAAAAATTTAACAAATTTTAAAGTGCCAACCATATAGAAACTCATATAAACAATAAGCACCTGTGTGGTATCTTTTTTATACTAATCAAATTAAGTATTTTTAATAGTTTGAAGAATCCACAGCACTTCAATAGATGCTATTATAATTTGTTTTGTGAGTCAGACGAAAATGGTGCAGAATCAAAGTCTCCCAGTCACTGATTTACTATTAATGAAATTACTAGTTATGTCATTTCATAGAAATATTAAAATTCAGGAATATAACGGATGTGTGTGACATAGTCCATGAAATAGCTCCCAGTATTGACATTGTACTGTGTGAGATTCCACCAAGGAGACAAAGCAAGGGGAAATGGAGAATACCAGCACCTAAGTTGAAGAAGATGCAGGATTGGATTGCTACAGCAAACAGTATTTTGAGAATCATCAGCTTATATACACCATATGTCAAATTCCTCAGTACATTTTTGGTATGAAACTAATATTAATCCCCTTCTAGATTTCTTTTTTATCAGAGTAAAAGTATATAGAAAAATTCTGGTCACATGTCATTCCCTTGGAAGCAACCAAACCCAATTTGAAAATTGCAGACTCTGTTTTATTGAGTCTGTTCATGAGAGAGAGTGAAAAGTGTAACATCTCTCCCACCCACTAGCACTGGCTTAAGTGGTATTCAAGTCTTGTACAGATTATTTCCAACAGTTGGAATATGTATGTTCTTAAAATTGTAGAGTGGTCATCATCTGACCTTTGACGGACTTCATCTTAGCAGAAAAGGTGCTGAACAATGTTATAAAGTTATTGTAGAAAATACCAGTGTGCGTGACAAGCCAACACGTGACAGCCACTCATCTTTTGCTTTTGATTTGGAAGATTTGCCAGTTCTTGGGGATGTTAGAATTAAGGATACATTGAAGAAATTACATATGCAGATATTGTTCAGAACGAGGTAATTTTGTTTGTCATTAAGAAGAGATAGGCCTTATATGTGTGAGTTCCTTTTTAGACATGCATTATATTTCAACAGTGCTGAGTGCAAGTTGAAGTATCTAAAAATTCTATGCACACCAAAATAAAAAACTTTAACAAATTTTAAAGTGCCAACCATATAGAAACTCATATAGACAATAAGCACCTGTGTGGTATCTTTTTTATACTAATCAAATTAAGTAATTTTAATAGTTTGAAGAATCCACAGCACTTCAATAGATGCTATTATAATTTGTTTTGTGAGTCAGACGAAAATGGTGCTGAATCGAAAATGGTGCAGAATCGATGTCTCACAGTCACTGATTTACTATCAATGAAATTACTAGTTATGTCATTTGATAGAAATATATCAATTCAGGAATATATCGGATGTGTGTGACATGGTCCATGAAATTGCTTCCAGTATTGACATTGTACTGTGTGAGATTCCACCAAGGAGACAAGACAGGGGGAAATGGAGAATACCAGCACCTAAGTTGAAGAAGATGCAGGAGTGGATTGCTACAGGAAACAGTATTTTGAGAATCATCAGCTTATATACACCATATGTCAAATTCTGAAACTCCTCAGTACATTTTTGGTATGAAACTAATATTAATCCCCTACTGGTTAGCTTATAATTTAAGGACTGCATATTTTCATCTTTATATTTATGAAAATGTCTTCAGTTTCTGGTCTGATCAGTATAATATAATACTGTTTTACAAATCAACATGGTTCTCATTCTGCTTTTTTAATCAGGGGAATTTTACAAGATTTCTTTTTTATCAGAGTAAAAGTATAAAGAAAAATTCTGGTTAAATGTCAATCCCTTGGAAGCAACCAAACCCAATTTGAAAATTGCAAACTCTTTTTTAATTGAGTCTGTTCATGAGAGATAGTGAAAAGTGCCACATCTCTCCCGCCCACTAGCACTGGCTTAAGTGGTATTCAAATCTTGTACAGATTATTTCCAACAGTTGAAATATGTATCTTTTTTAAATTGTAGAGTGCTCATCATCTGACCTTTGACCGACTTCATCTTAGCAGAGAAGGTGCTGAACAATGTTATAAAGTTATTGTAGAAGATACCAGTGTGCGTGACAAGCCAACACGTGACAGCCACTCATCTTTTGCTTTTGATTTGGAAGATTTGCTAGTTCTTGGGGATGTTAGAATTAAGGAAACATTGAAGAAATTACATATGCAGATGTTGTTCAGAACGAGGTAATTTTGTTTGTCATTAAAAAGAGATAGGCCTTAAATGTGTGAGTTTCTTTTGAGACATGCATTATATTTCAACAGTGCTGAGTGCAAGTTGAAGTATCTAAAAATTCTATGCACACCAAAATAAAACTAGAAATGTGTCCATAGGACACGATGCCCCCACATGCCACTGTTCTGTGAATCTTATGGCTCTAGGTCAAATATTTGTTGGACTACATGTGCCACAAGTTGAAAACTAAAAATCAACAAAGGGCCATAATTCTGTTAAATTTGGTCGCAGCAAAAATTCCTTCCTTTACTACCATCTACACATTAAGGTTGTTTATCCCTGGAAGTTTAAGCAAAATCTGCCATCCGGTTTAAGAGGAGTTGCGTTCACAAAATTTCTACATTGTATATAATGAAAAAATCAAAAAAGGGCCATAATTCTGTTAAATTTGGTTGCAGCAAAAATTCCTTTCTTTACTACCATCTACACATTAAGGTTGTTCATCCCTGGAAGTTGAAGCAAAATCTGCCATCCGGTTTAAGAGGAGTTGCATTCACAAAATTTCTACATAGTATACAGTGAAAAATCAACAAAGGGCCATAATTCTGTTAAATTTGGTTGCAGCAAAAATTCCTTTCTTTACTACCATCTACACATTAAGGTTGTTCATCCCTGGAAGTTGAAGCAAAATCTGCCATCCGGTTTAAGAGGAGTTGCATTCACAAAATTTCTACATAGTATACAGTGAAAAATCAACAAAGGGCCATAATTCTGTAAAATTTGGTTGCAGCGAAAATTCCTTCCTTAACTACCATCTACACCTGAAGGTTGTTCATCCCTGTAAGTTTAAGCAAACCCTGCCATCCGGTTTAAGAGGAGTTGCGTTCACATTTCTACATGGTATATAGTGAAAAAATCAACAAAGGGCCATAATTCTGTTAAATTTGGTCGCAGCAAAAATTCCTTCCTTTACTACCATCTACACATTAAGGTTGTTCATCCCTGTAAGTTTAAGCAAAATTGCCATTCGGTTTAAGAGGAGTTGCGTTCACAAAATTTCTACATAGTATCTAGTGAAAAAATAAACAAAGGGCCATAATTCTGTTAAATTTGGTCGCAACAAAAGTCCTTCCTTTAATGCCATCTACACATTAAGGTTGTTTATCCCTGTAAGTTTAAGCAAAATCTGCCATCCGCTTTAAGAGGAGTTGCGTTCACAAGATTTCAGGACGTACGGACTGACGTACGGACGGACAAGTGCAACGCTATTTGCTCCCACATTGTGGGGGCATAAAAATTTAACAAATTTTAAAGTGCCAACCATATAGAAACTCATATAGACAATAAGCACCTGTGTGGTATCTTTTTTATACTAATCAAACAAGAATTTGTAACAGAGTTACCAACGTCCCCCGCCTCGGGGAAGTTTTATATGAAGCATAAAATTGTGTTTTATATGAAGCATAAAATTGTGCTATTTCAAAAGATTTAGTTATGGATTTCAGGACTTTCAGTCCAAAATTATGATCAATGCTAGATCTGCAAATGCAACAGTAAATTTATTAAAGAAATACTAGTAAAATGAAACACGGAATTTAAAATTCTATCATGTTAACCTTTGACCTCTAAGTGTGACCTTGACCTTGGAGGTAGGGGTGCAGGTGTTGTGCATGACATATTGTCTTATATATATTACTATTTGTGCCAAGTATTTTCAAAATCCCTTGAACTATGTAGTCAGACGAAAATGGTGCAGAATCGATGTCTCCCAGTCACTGATTTACTATTAATGAAATTACTAGTTATGTCATTTGATAGAAATATTAAAATTCAGGAATATAAGGGATTTGTGTGACATGGTCCATGGAATAGCTCCCAGTATTGACATTGTACTGTGTGAGATTCCACCAAGGAGACAAAGCAAGGGGAAATGGAGAATACCAACACCTAAGTTGAAGAAGATGCAGAAGTGGATTGCTACAGGAAATAGTATTTTGAGAATCATCAGCTAATATACTCCATATGTCAAATTCCTCAGTACATTTTTGGTATGA